TTTTCCCGAACTAATCTTATTTTATTACCACAGAACTTCTTTCAATAAGATAACACATCTTTACAGATAAAAGTAGATAATAAACATTTTTTATTCTAATGAATATTTCATATTCAAAAATGACTATAGACTGTCGTCATATTTATAATACATATGTAGTAGATCTATATCATATACGAAAAGTAAAAAAAATGTACTCTTACTCTATTTCAATTATATGCACTATCGTTACATTATTTATAGATCGATCTTCGAGTTGAAGTGTATATATCCTTCTCAAGATAATTGAACTTACAAAGTAATATAATCTTCAAAAATAGTCATGAGAGTAGATTCAATGAAAGTAAACTTTCTCGAACAACTTAGAGATGATAGAATCTATTCATAGGAAAATAATTGTATTAAATGTACGATATTCTGTTCTTTTTCCCCAAAAATGTGATGTAGTGTAATGAATGTTTACTAGAGGAAAAAAAAGAGAGAAGCCTAAGGGAATAAATCCTTTTGAGTTTTTTCACAATTCATTAAATCTAGATATGTTGTTTCACTAGTAATGATAATACCAAATGTTATTTTGAAAAACATCACTCAACTTCGAAAATTTTGATAATTATAAAAAATCTCCGTTTTAAAGTACAATAACATTGAACCATAATATTCGATTTTAATGTTGCGTATTAAAAAGAATATTTCATCTAAAATTTGAAGTATCTGATACTTGAATATAAGTACTTCAACTGTTTCCGATTCATTACGGAAATGTCACGAAAAGACTTTTTTTTTTAGTATAAATGAACAATTCTATCAGAGAATTTAACTAGTAATGGCGTGATTATGATTACAACAATGATGACACATGGGAATAGTAACTTAATTCCCTTTTATTACATCACTATTTATTTCTTTAATATAAAGATTTACCGTTATCAATTTGATCAATCGGATGTTGAACTTGTGTGATATGATTATTATCAATTTGAAATGGTTCACTACTTCTATAAATACGTGTAGATGATGATGATACTCCATTTGTTGTTTTTTGTATAAGTTCATCTTCGTCCTCATCTGTATTTTGTTCATCAGATAAATCATATTTATCACGACTAAATCTTGAATCTAACGTTCGACTACCATGTGTGGATGAATCATCATGATAAACTTGTTGATAAACATCCGCTGTATCATTTATAATACCAGTTTGATGCCGATGATGACGAACAGATTCAACTGTATCCGATGGTTTTATTGTTGATACTGGTGAACGATGTGTTCGATTTGTTACTGGTGCAACTGTACGTGTATTTGAATAAGATCTAAAACAAACAAATGAAGATATTTCATTTTGAAATTTTCTTTCTTTTTTTTTATACCTAGTAAATGTTCGATTTTTATTATAACATTCACGTGCATACTCAACAATTTCTTTTTGTGTTCGACCATGATATCGAAATGATGAACCACGTGATAATAATTTCGTTTTTGAACGATGTAAACGTTGTATTGTCACACAACGAAAGAAAGCATGATATTCAATACATTTTTTCCAAAAATTTTTACATTCATCACGTGTATCAAAATAAAATTCAACTGTATCTTTATAATAACCCTTTAAAAATATACAAAATTATTTTTGTTGAAGACAAAAAAAAACAAAAAATCTTACATATCCTTCTGGTTGTAATTTAATTAGAAATTTTTTACGTTTAAAACTTAATTTACGAATTTTTGCCCAGGAAAATGTATTAATTTTTGTTATATTTTGAAAGACAAGTATACCCATATGTGCAACAGATAAATTCAAATTAACTTGTTCATGATCTTTAGCTGTATGCATTTTAATACCATATAATTCAACTTTACGTGCTGTATCAAGTAGATTAAGATCAGCATCAGCTGGATGTTGTCCACTTTAATAAAATATTTGAAATAAATTCATGATTTGTAAGAATTATTTTACTTACAGATGATTTTTATGAAAATTCATTATACGAATTTCATGTTCAGGAGTTTGATGTGGAAAATATTTTCGTTGATTTAAATAATTAGGATTATTATTATATGTTTCAAGATAATCACCAATTTCCGCTAGAATTACAATCAAAGAAATAAAATAGAGATGAAATATAATTGCATACCTTGAACAATATAAGAAGCAAGCAAAGACGCAGTATTATCACTACATAATAATGTACCAAGAGCAAGATCACGTTTGATTTGTAAAGCAAAAAGATATCTTCAATATACAATATTAAGATTAGAAAGATATATATATATATATATTACCTAGTAAATTCTTCTTCCAATTGTCCTGGATCAGGTGTATAAAATTTAACACAAAATGAAAATTTTGTTTCTGTAACTTGTTTAAGTATAGGTTTATCCAATTCAAGCCAACACTTCAAAAATAGATAATAGTAATAATAATAATAATAATAATAGAAAAGAAGAATACATACAACATTTCGATGTCTATCTAAATATTCCAAACCAAAATAATCTCGTTCAAGTAAATCAATATATTTGCAAACTGTATTAACCAAATCTTGTCCAATAGCCTTTGGCTAAAAAATAAATTACAATATTTCATAATAATTCGGTCAAATCAATCAATCAGATACACATGTGTGTGTGTAGAATCAATACATAAGAGAATTACTTGTGATAATAACTCGTATTTCATCACCAGAATAACGATGATGATAGACACGCACATACATTTACAGCAATTAACTTGAGTTATCTAGCGCATTCTTCTCTCAACTTTTTTTTGACAAATATATCATAGAATCAACTGTTATGATTAATAGTACTTGACATCGATAAAAATGTTATTACAAACAACAATTGTATACTTACATCTATATGAAATGGTAATTCTTGATCATCAAGCATACGAACTTTACATGGTATTTGTTTGCCCGCTTTCGTTTTTGTTATTGTTGTAGTAGTCGTCGTCATATTAAATTTTCTTACTAGTAATTTTTATTGTATATAAATAAGACGATAGACATGAATTGAAATATATTATTGTCATCATTTAAAAGTAAATTATTGTTTGATTTAATGGTATGTGTTAGTAATCATTCTTTATATATGTATATATCAAACATCTTATATATCTAAAAGAAATATATATAAAATAAACCTATCTGTATGTTGTCAATATTTATGATTTATAAAAGAAATAACGGACAGCATACATATGCCTCTCATCATTTGTTTTAACAACCATCAACTTATTTTGTTCCTTAGCCGCTAATAACATCCCTTCGTCGTTCTGTCTCTCGTCCAATGTTGATTATTATTTGCAATTGTAGTGATCGATGGTGTGAGTAAAAACACTACTCAATGAATGAAAATCAAATGCACGCATCTTTCTCGGTCGCTTTCTATTTCTCTGTCTCTCTCTCTGTCTCGCTATACATATACATCAATGAAGGCTTGTTGAGTGGCTAACTGAAAGAAGAGCACATAAGAAGAAAAAAAACAGGACAATCGATTGATCGATTGAATAAATGATTAATAATGCAATAGTGACATCAAACATAGATTTTTTTTCTTCTTCTTCTCTTTCTTTGATACTGACCGATTATCTTTGTCGTTCGCTATCATCTTTACCATTTTTGCTAAATCGTCCTTTTTTTGCTTTACAACAATGATGACGATGACGACTGACAATACAACATATTCTTTCTGACAATGTTGGCGCTCGACTATCGATTCTTTCTTTTCCGTTCTCTTATTCTCTTTCTTTTTTTAGTTTCTATAACTGAATAGTAGGAATAAACGACAAAGTCGGTCATCGTAATGCATCGTATACAAAGACAATTGCTCAACATACTAGTTCTTCGTCTTCTTCTTCTTCTTATTTCTTTTTTTCGTTCTCCTCTTGCTTAGTTCTGTTGTTGATGATCGCACTCTTTGTATATGTGTGTTGGATGCCTTAGTGTATTCTCATCATTAAACATCTTCTCTTCTTGCCACATATACATCCGTAGAAACTAGTGATGTTGATGTATGCATGTTCTTTTGATCAGTCTTTTTTTTGTCATTCTTTAGCTTATAATTTATTTTTAGTCGGACTAGCAAACACTTGGAGTGGAATATTGATAATGTCATAGTTCTAATGAATTTTATATTCTAGGTTTTTTGAACAAAATGAAAATAACAGAAAATAGAATATGTCATGTTTCTTCTTAAAGTAAAAAAATTAGAAAAACTTACTTGTTTATTACCTATGACTTCTCGTTTCTTTTTTTATGTTTAAAAAATGAATCAAGAAAACGTTCGGGCTTTATCAATGTGTGATAGTAACAGGAAACAAGACATATTATTCAAACGGATGTCTACTTGGATTCACTCATATAGACGTGCTTGCATACCTCTTTGCTTTTATCTTAGCATGTTACATTTCTCATCAATATGAATAAAGATATGTGTGTGTACGCATGCACAAATAATAATTAACAAATAGGAAAGATACAAAAGCATACTTACTGTTTAGTTGTAATATTTCTATTATCAATAAGACATACTTTTGAAGTTAAATACTTTTCAGTCAATTGACATGAGTTATACTCTACTAACGATTATATATTATTATAAAGGAAAATTTTCTGATTTTGATTATTACAATTTGCACAAATCTAGCTAAGCATATAAACTTTGAAGAGAGAAAAAAAAGAAAAGAATTCATATGTCGATTACGTCAACATCTATGCATGAAAATAAAAAAAAATGAGATTGTTTTACTTTATTAAAAAGGATATAGAGCTTAAATTGACAGCTCGTGAACAATCACAATAAGGAAAGAGAAACGTGTTAGAATGTAAATAAATAGTAGCATAGCATAGGACTAATACCGAACAGTATTTTTCAATGGTGTAAATCTTCACCAATCAGAAAAGCTATGATTTTGATTGGTTAAAACTAATCATGAAAATAAACAGTTTGGTTTTGTCTGTATATTTGGATTACTTTCTTCTTTTTTTTTTGTTAGGATGTCGAATTTACCGACAACTTTTCTAACGCATTCTCAAAGAGTTTGTCGTTTATATAAACAATTATTTGCACTTGCTCGTCGTGAAGAATGGCCAAACAGGTTTATATCTTCGTTTTCTATTGTTTTTTCTTAATACTTGTTTTTTTTGGTTACAGACTGACTTACCGTCAACGTATGGTCGAGTATCGAGCTCGACTTGATGCTAATAAAAATGTTCAAGATTTAATGAAAGCAAAACGATTATTAATTGCTGGAGAAGAAGAATTGAAAAAAGCCATGTATTGGCATACAGAAAATTTCAATTGTAAGAATAGAATATCTTTTAAAACTAAAAAAATCACGTCTTTGTTTTTTAAAAATAGTTCCTGAATCTCCTAATGGTATTGCTGATAGTCGATTTCCAACACCAGATGATGCTGTAAGTAAAACAAAAACAATAAAATATTCTTAAATATTTATTTTTATTTAATAAAAGGCACTTGATGCATGGCATCCAATGGAAAAAGCTCAATATCCAACATATTTTGCAACGCGTGAAAAACGAAAGAAAGCTTATATGGAATGGTATCTTAAACGATATGGAATACCTGATCCTCCTATGATGTGAACATTCGTTTTTTATCCTACGAGTTTTTTTCCCTCAGATTGTAAAGTAGATTTTTGTCCTTTTTTCATCCCTTATTATGATTATATTCGTGGATATACATACACACACACACATCTTCCGATTTGAAACAGACCTCATATTGTATATGCCAATATCACAGACAATAGATTGTTTCATGTTAGTATAAAGTTAAAATATAAAATGATCTTGTATAAAACAGAAATTGACATTGATAATAACCATGATATCTATTGTATAGATTTGATAGGAATGAAAATACAATTTCTTTAACGTTTGTTTTTACCATGAACATAATCTATTGATATTTCTTTTGCATAATATGATCAGCAATTAATTATCTTCATATTTTCTTTAATTAAAAAAAAAGAATGAATTTTTATTAATTAAAATCAAATCGATTTAAATGCGAAGTTACAATGTTCTACAAAATTTATAAGTTATGCATGAAATTAAAATAAATTTTTTATTATGTACAGCGCCATCTTACTAATTGTTAAAAAAAAATGAATTCACTTTTATTTCATAGTTACTGTGTTCGACAGGATTGGTGTCCTGTTTTTATAGCAACTCAACATGGATTGATAAAAGTGTACTCATCAATCTTTGATCGAGGGCAAAAAGAAAAGAGAATGATTTGAAAATGTCTTAAAATTGCAAATTTTTCAATTCGATACATAAAAAGGTAAGCTTCACATGTGATAGATTGATTTAAACTATCAAATATCCATTCATCGAATTTTTATTGTATACGTTAAATATTACCTTGATATTCTATTTCAAAATGAATTCGTATATAATTATTTTTAAAATTTCTTTACTTCGACAAATGTTAAGATCAATATTAATATGATATAGCCAAAGAAGAGATGTAAGTAATTTATTCTTACGACATTTTATTGAAAATTATTTTTCTAAAAACAAATATGCTGAACATGATCGTTATATTTTAGTAAAAATTTTGCTATAAAATATATTAAAGTTCGATAGCGGAAAACATGAGAAATAGTTCGTTTTTCAAATAAGATTCTATATTCAATTTTCGTCGTTTTTTTTCATGAAATTCGGATTAGTTTAGTAATATATATTGAAGATATTAGTATTTGAGGAACTGATTGAATAGAAAATGTCAATATTCATTCTTCTGAAGTAGAAAAAAAGAGTACTGAGTAATCGAATGATAATTTATGTTATATTTAATAATATTGATTAAAAGTAATTTAATGCTAATATTTGTCTTTATCTACGTCAGTCATGACAAACTAAAAGTTCAGAATACATAGAAAAACATCAAAATTTTTCTTATTATATTTCAAACTTTTAGTTTCAATTGAAAAGTTTATAAAAGAATATGTAGATACATAATAACATGTAATAGAACGATATTTTTTTATCGTGTCATATGATGATTGAAAGTATAATCAGAATAGAATGTAATTAAATTAGTGTATAAATCATGTCTTTAAATCGAAGAATACAACTTGATTCATATATATGCGTTTTCTACTCAAAAAGATAAGATTTTCATCCTTTTAGTGTACATAGTTGCGCTATATAAATCAATCGAAATGCATAATTTATTGTTTCGGTCAGAGTTCCGCATGGGATAGGATGTGACAGAATTTTCGTCCCGCTGATCGATGTAACTCATCCCATGGGATTCACTGAAAAACAATCTTTATCTCCTCCCATGGGATATGTCAAAAATAAAATGTCATCCCATCCCATGTGAAGCCCTAATTTCGATTACAATTAAGTCTATACATCATCTGAGGTTTGAGTGGACGATGGACAACCTTCGTTTACACTCAACTCTCACGTAATACTGGATTATGTTCTTCGCGTCTGAATATGCGTTGAAAGAAGTTACTCTAAAGTATTGGGCAATATTGCCTATGCAATAAAATATCAGTGAACATGATATTATCTTATTAGAATTCATCAAAATGTTCTTTGTTAGTCTAACGTCCACAGTTGAATTAGAAGAAATTAGCAAAAATCGCTAGCTAGTTTTCTGTGTAAAGATTATTTCTTCAATAATTTGACTGCAGTTTCGTTAATACTCAGTTGAATCAACAAAGTGTTCATCACAATATAATTTGTCACTTTTACTTAGAATCGTTTAATGAAAGTTCTATTTATAATGATATTTCATGCATAAGCCTCACACTTACTTCACAGCCTGATAAAAATTTTGCTCTCTATCTCACTTTCTAATTTAAAATAGAGCTGAAGTCTGTAAGAACTCTAAGCAAGAAAAACATCGGTACCATATAGGTGGTAATATGAAGGTTAATTTTATCAAATAAGAGCAATTATATTCACATTACCATTATTACGTTTTTACAATGGCGTGTTATATAGATGATAAAAATGAGTCATAATGATTATCATATATCGTAAAGGTGAAAAATAACGGGTGAATATCGAATAAGATTATATACCTAAGATATAATACTACACAAAAACATCATGAGTGTAAAATTTGCATGTTTCATTTTCTCTCATTATATTTTTCGAATATTCTACGATAAGGTAAAAAAAACAAAAATATCTATAGTAGATAATAAAAATAAATGTATGTACTACATAATAGTAGGAGATGAAATAATATGAAATTATTCAACCAGAACTTCTTGCGAGATTTTATTCACCTACGTTTATTTTATGCGTTAATTTTACATACTACGTTTTCATTGACCGTTTATTTAAACAAAATTAGGGATTATTAAGTTAGCATCAAATTACTAAAATCTTAGAAAACGTTAAATTATGTATTCTTATTAATCAGGAGTACGTATGAAGTAAAATGAACAGAATATACTTAGATTAGTAGAAAAATATGAGATAGAAATAAAAACAGAAAAATTTTAGGCTAGGAGCCAGATAATAAACAAAAAAACTACATTTCAGGTAGTATACAATCAACTGATGAAATACAAAACTATACAAATATCATAATAATAAGATAGTTTAAAAACCAGATTCTTCTCGATATTTATCTTTGACACGATTAGCCATTGATGTTAAATTATTAAGTGATTGAAAAAGACCATAATAATGATATTTTAATTCATCTTTAATTGCTTCATGTGATGCAGTTCCAGATGATGTTGAGCTGTGTTCAGATTCATCATATGAACCTGTTGATGATGCTGAAGAAAATTGATTATTATCAGATATTGAAACAATTATTCCTTCATCATCATTAGAATGTTGTCTTTGTTTATTATTTAAATCAGTATTATTATCATTAGCGTCCTCAGCAAATGGACACATACATTGTAGTTGATTTCGCATACCACGAACAAATGTATAAACTTCATGCCAATTTTCTACTTGAACTGAATTTTCAGAAATTATTTCTTTAAGAAAGAAAATCACATAATAATATGACATAGCAAAGAAACTTTAGTTAATCTTACCATCAACAGACATATCTTTAAGTTTTGTTGGTAACATTATTTCATCTTCCATATTTTTCGTAGCTTGAAAAAATTCATCCATCGTATCGAGAAGAACTGGTATAGAGAATGATGTTGCTAAACGTCGATTACGACAATCAGTTTTTATTGCTGACAAACTATGACGGTGTTGATTATTAATAGACTGATTTTTTTTCCGTATTGTACTTGTTAGTGATAATTGTCTGACTGGTTTTTGAATTGACTGAGACATGTGTTCTGATTTTCTAGAAGATAAATTCGAAGAGCTACTTGTTGGTCTTATTATTGTATCGTTGATTTTCATATCTGTTCAAAATAAATCGATGTGGCTACAGAAATCGACTTATATTATAGGTAGTAACAGAAAGAAAAAGAGAGAAAAAAACGTAGGAGAGAAATGAAGGCTTTTTTCTTCTTTCTCCCAAAACCACTGCGTGTCATTGCGAGAGAAAGCGAGAGAATAATAGATGTAAAAAAAACCCATACACGAGAAAAAAAGAATAATCTGTTTTTTGTATAGACGATAATACTAACCCACTCATCCAAAGAATGTCAATAGCCTGATAAATATCTGATATTATGCTAAAAATATTTTGTTTATTCTTTGTATAATCAAAAATTACAAATAATCAACAAGATAAAACATTTTATTATGCATTAAGATTATACTTAAAAAAATATTCTTAAAATGCGAAAAAAATGTATATTAATGTATCTCCATCGATTTTATTTGACAAATAAACAAATATTTTTCTATCCACCTACATTTAGTATATCAAAAAAAAACAGTCATTCAACACAACGTACCTTTTTTATGTAAGGAATAAAAAATGAGTATAATTACTATTTCATATATATTTGTTTTGATGATATCATAGGTATACTCATCATATATCAGCTGTGTCGTCCTTTGTTTCGTAGTTAAACAAATATGCTACATAACTTTGTTTTTATCTTTACCATCGTTTGATGATAATTTGTAAACTATAAATCATCGAGAACAATAAACTTTTTAAACGAATCAGTATTATCCAGCTAATGTTTTTCTTCATAAATGTCAACTAAATCTATTGTTTAAGTAAAACAAAAGAAGGATTGCTTAAAACGCAAAAAATTATATTTATAGATTTTTGAGAAGAATAAAATTATTTATTACAGATATTTAAAAGTAAAATATTTATTCGAGAGAATGGGTTCACCAGTGAATCGAGATGATATTGCAAGATTAGCAACAGATTTTTATAGTTTATTGGAATCATTTAAACAAACACCATTTTATCATTTAATATTTGAAATTTTTTTAATATTAACGGTTTTGTGGCTTGTTTGTTTTCGTAAACCACGTCCTATTGCAAAAAAATTAACTGAAAAAGAAAAACAAGAATTAATCGATGAATGGCAACCGGAACCGTTAGTACCACCCGTTGATACAAATCATCCAGCATTAAATGTTCGAGTTTTAGATGGTATTGTTGGTAAAACAATTGAAATAGATGGGAGAAAAAGTCTTAATTTTGCAACATTTAATTTTCTTAATTTTGTTGGCAATCAACGTATTGCCGATAAAGCTATACAAGCTGTACAAAAATATGGTGTAGGTTCATGTGGACCGCGAGGGTAAATATTACATTTTAAAATAGTTCAATTGATTCTATAAATAAAAAGTTTAATTTTAAAATAGCGTCGTCATATATTTATTATTAGATGATAATATGACGCAGTTATACTTTACAGAACGCATAAAAAGAATAAAAACGTCGTCATTTGAAGTGTTCTACATAGATTTGAGTGTTAATGAATCATTTTTAAAAGTTTTTAAATCAACAAAAGTGAATAATTGTGGGTTATCTTCAATCTATTTATTCTTTTAGATTCTACGGAACGATAGATATTCATTTGGAATTAGAAGAACGTTTAGCTCGATTTTTTAATTTTGAAGAAGGTATTATTTATTCCTATGGATTTTCAACTATTGCAAGTATCATTCCAGGTTCGATAATAAAAAAAATATACAACAAAATCCATTTTTAATTTTTTTTTTCTTGAAATCTTCTTATGATTATTTTTTAAAGCTTATTCCAAACGTAATGATATCTTATTTGTTGATGAGGGTATACATTATGCTATTCAAAAAGGTGTTGAAGCATCTCGCAGTACTGTGAAATGGTTTCGTCATAATGATATCAATGATCTTGAACGTTTATTAGCTGAACAAGATAAACATGATAAAAAAAATCCGAAAAAAGCTAGTACAATACGACGTTTTCTTATTATTGAAGGTTTATATATGAATTATGGTGATATATGTCCATTACCACGTATGGTTGAATTAAAATATAAATATAAATATCGTATATTTATGGATGAAAGTGTATCATTTGGTACAATAGGACAAACAGGTCGTGGTGTAACAGAATATCATAATGTTGATCGACAAAAAATTGATTTAATATCATCAACATTAGAATATTCTGTTGGTTCAATAGGTGGTTTTGCTGTTGGTAGTTCGTTTGTTATTGATCATCAACGTTTATCAGCACAAGGTTATTGTTTTTCAGCATCATTACCACCATTACTTGCTGCTGCCGCTATTGAAGCATTAAATATAATGGATGAAGAGAATAGTGGATTATTTGAAACATTAATGGATAAAAGTAAACGTTTACATAAAAAATTATTAGATATTAAAGGTTATAGAGTTCTTGGTGAAGATATTTCACCATTAAAGCATTTAAGTTTAGCAAATTCATTGAATACAATTGGACGTTTAGAATATATTGTTGAATTTGCTCAAACACGTGGTATAACTATAACTATTGCAAGATATTTGAATGATGAACATCATTTACCAGAACCATCAATTCGTCTTATATTAAATGTTGAAATGACCGATGAAGAATTAGAATTTCTATGTACTGTTCTACAAGAAGCACTTGTGAAAGTAACTGCTTAATTGTGATTTTATTTTATTTGATATATTTACATGACCAGATTATTTTCTCTGCCGTATAAAAAAAGCATTTGATCATTTTTTTAATGCAAATTTTTTTTGTTACGTTGTAATCATTCATGTTTACACTTTTTTTTATCCGAATGAATAAATAAATTGATCTAAAACAGATAAATGCATATGAATGCAATATTTTGAAACATATCCTTCTATGGGAATATTTTTTGTCCTATTGGGTACTTATTTTTTATAGTTATGTCAATAAACAAAAACAGATATTTACTGTAAAATTCTTTTCATGGAAAAATCCGGTTTATTTTGTCTGATTAGATAACATATATGTTTTTGCTCGTTTAGTATCTTGCTTTATTTCTTTTATTACACAATTTATTGTATAGATATATAGGTCAAGGTTGCGGAAGAACAAACTATTTTGAGTATGCGTTCTTTGATTAGTTTGTTTTGTTGGGATATAAGTTATTTGAGAGAACGCAACATATGCTATACATAAGACTACTTCCTATGGGATATACATTATGGAAGAATATCTCAGTTTTGTTGGTGAATTCATATATAAATAGTAATAGAGCAAAATGACATTCGATAAAAACTGATGTTCTAAAAAATTCAAAATTCTTCTATTTTGAATATCATATTTATATTTATCCAGATATAAGTAATGTAAAATATCAATGAATATTTTTTTTTAGTTTATATTTCGTTTACAAAATGGCTGCTCATAGAACAAAACAACAGAAAATATAATAAAAAATACAGATTTTCTTGATATTACATGCCGGGTGGACCTAAATAGATAGATATAAGAAAAAACTTTATTAGAAAATGAATTCTAAAACTTACGTATTCCCATAGGTGGTGGTGGCATTCTCATGCCAACTGGCATGCCTCGACCATTAGGTGCCATTTGATTGAAACCAGGTCCACCAATACCACGTATTGGTCCTTGAAGACCAGGAGCTGCAAAACTAGGTGCACCAGGTACAGGTGGTATAACTCCTATAAATAATAATAAAATTTCTCATTTATATATCATAATTATAATAAAATGTAAAACAAACCTCGTCCAGCTGCACGACCAGCACCTTGTGCGGCTGCTGCTGCATTTGTTGGTACACGAGCAATACCGACTTCCTTCAAACGAAAAGAAAAGAACATAGATATTTTTAGCTAAAATAATTATTACAAACCTCTTTTGGTGGTGGTCCTTCAACTGTCATTGAAACAAGATGTTCACCACGTAATAAAATTAAACCTAATGGTCGTTGTTCTTCACGTTCACTTTTATCAGTTTTACTTCGTACTTTACGAAATTCTTCACAATCGGCTAATATAAGATTCATATGTTTATCAAATGCTTTAAATGTACCAACAAGTTGTCGTCCATCTTGTAGTGTACATCGCATACCTATTCAAAAACGTAAGAAACTAAATAAATCTATCAGACAAAAAAAAACAACTACATACGATAATTGATATGTTGCAGCATTTTGCTGCTTTTTCCTTGAGTTGGCTAATAAAATAAAGAAACAACATGTAAGAATTGTTTAAAAGAAAAACTATTCTTACCATTGAAATTAATTAAATGATTATTACAAATCAATCTGAAAATAAATAAATATTTAAAAAAAGGAAGGTAAATGTTGTAAATATTTATTTAATCATAACAAAGTCAGAATCGCTTCGTTATCTTTCAATTAAAATCAGCAAAGAAGAAATCTTTTTTTTATTCATCATCCTTTGTTACGAATAATAAGAATTAAAGAATTTCAATTTCTTCTTTATTTCGAAAAAAAAATATTTCAACCAATTAAAATTTACGATGATTATGACATCTTTCGTTAAATTTTACATCTTGTTTTCTCAGGAGGTGATTTGTTATAGTAAAATCTGGATAAATAAATTTAACAAAGATAAAATATAGTTACTAACAAACATTATTTTACGAAATCTTGATTAATACATCTACTATTCGTTATTTTTTGTTTTTAGATCTATCACGATTCTTGATTAATATCATTACATCATGGGACATTCATCAATCTTTCGTTCACATCCACATAGATATGGACCAGGTAGTCGTAAATGCCGTGTTTGTTCCAATGGCCATGGTATCATTCGCAAAGTAAGTGATTTATTAAACTATTAATTCAAGTTTTTTTGAAAATTCTCATCTTTAGTATGGTTTAATGATTTGCCGTCAATGCTTCCGCGAATATTCAAGTGATATTGGCTTTAAGAAGCTCGATTAAACATCATCTACGAACACAATATAAGAATATCATAGAATCCATCAATTGTTTTTCGCTATATTGTTTTTTCTTTTATTATCGTTTATGATTATTGTTCTTGTGCGAAATGATGGAATAAAAAAACAAAATATATATTCAGAAGAAACATCACAATTTATCTTTACTTTTTTTGCTTTTATTGCTTCTATTTATTTTTACAATTCGATCATTCTTTAGAATAAAAATAAATCATGGATATTGAATTGGAAGATAGAACTATTAATAGATTGGATACAACTACGATTAAACTTGATATTGGAGAACCTGATACGAGTATGATACCATTTGATATGCTTTCAAAAGCATCACAAGAAATGTTTGCTGATGAAGAAGGTAAACGACAAGGAACATATTGGGGATATGCAGAAGATGAAGGCAATACTAGTTTACGTCATAATATTGTTAATTTTATTCATCATTCATGTGGAATTTCAACATTGAGCTTTGAAAATATTTTTATTACAAATGGTATTTCGGCTATGCTCGATCAGCTTTGTACTATGTTTTTACGAGCAGGTGATACTGTACTTGTTGAATGTCCAACATATTTGTATGCTTTACCAATTTTTCGTGATCATCATTTACATATTATTTCATATGCAACTGATAATGATGGATTAATTATTGATTCAAAATTTATAAGTGAAGTACTTGAAAAAGCTAAACCGAAGATGATCTATTTGGTACCAACATTTCAAAATCCTGTAAATATATGATTTATTCAATAATAAAAAAAGAATTGAAATAGAGCACAACATATTTTATTATAGAGTGGCTTTACCATGTCTCATCATCGTCGTGAACAATTGGTAAAATTAAGTTTGAAATATAATTTTTTAATCGTAGCTGATGAAGTTTATCATTTTCTTGATTATGAAAAAAAAGAAACAAATGGAAATATTCATGATCATAGTCAATTAATTGAACATCCAAAATCATTTGCTGCTTATCATGCTGCAGGAACAGTCATATCACTTCATTCATTTTCCAAAATTCTTACACCTTCTTTACGTTTGGGTTTTGCATGTGCAAGTCATGAACATGTTAGCGCAATGGGTCGTTTTGGTTTAATACATAGTAGTGGTGGTGCTAATCCTTTTACATCAGGTATTGTTGATCGAATATTAACCAAAGATTTATTAAAAAAATTTATTGATGAAAAATTATGTGTTGAATACAAAAAACGTATGAAAGTATTACATAGTGAATTAATGCAAACATTTGGTGAGAATTATATATCATGTCGACGACCATCAGGTGGTTATTTTCTTTGGATAAAATTTCATGATACAACTGTTGATTGTGATCAATTATTAATTATTGCTCGTAAATATGGTGTTACATTTAAACCCGGACGATTATTTGCTCATGATGAAGAAGCAAAAGCACATTTAGCCAATTGTCTTCGTCTTTGTATTGCTTTCGTTAATAGTGATAAATTACGAGAGGGATGTACAAGATTGAAACGGGCTTTTGAAGAATATAAGAATATTACGTTGGATTAGTTACTTTTTGTTTTTTAATTTTATTAAATAAAAGAAACGTTATGTAGGTTTTTATTAGAAACAGAATGTTTATATTCAGAAGATAAATATAATATCTTCATTCACTGGTACTTTAATCAGCACAGTATTTTGTTATTATGGCAAAAAAGAATTATCTTAAATATGTTCATTTATCAATCGATTCACAACGAAAAACGTATTTCAAAAATTGTATATAGTTTAGGTATATGGTTTCAAGCATTTGCATTTTAATCGGAGCATCGAAGAATAGGGTAGGTGTGGGTATTAGAGCTTTCTAGCGGTTTATATTAACTAAACTGGTCATTAAGGATCGGAAGTTTTGGTATAAGTCAGAAACAAAGTAGCATGTAAATTTAATGAGTTGAGTAGGGAGGATTCGGGTTAGGGTTGCTTTTCGTTATTGTTGTTGTTCATGTTGCACACGGAGCATAAATAACAGATAACTGCGTGATTTAAACAACAATAATGAAAGAACAGCCTGTGCCGATATTGATATCACCTCGTATTGTTCTTTATTTTCTCTTCTTTCTGGTGTACCCTCTTCTATTCATCTCTTTCTCTTTCTCGTTCTCTCTCCTATATAAGAGGATGTTATAGTGTGAAAGAGATACATTCTGGACAAGTGACGTAGCTCAATAAATATCCATGCCATGAGCAGCAGTTAGCTACTCACTCAGTTTGCCGTTGCGCAGAGCATGGGTAAGGATTAGCCGTATATTCTGAAAAAACGTTGCCCAAATTTTCCAAGATTCGGTAGCTTAAAAACTTGGGAGATCTTAAACAACAAATTTGACCGAAAAGAATCGTGAAGAGATGGATCTAGTTGGAAATCCAAATCATCATGTTAATTTCGAAAGAAATTCTAATATGCTAAACTGAGGATGGTCAGAAAGATAAAAGGATGATAATGAACTAGGAAGATGAAAAGGATAACAAAGGGTTAGCGACACGAGAGGAAGACGACGAGAAGATCGCTCAGCAACTATAATCCGATCAAAAGACATCGAAGGAGGATGCCCAACTGGAAGGAATGTATTTGCTTAGCAGCAACGTGCGTCATCTGGTGGCGCTAACAGCCTGACTTAGTAATTCAAATAAAAGTTTGCATTCTTTACTTCGTAATGAATCAAACTATCCAAACGAAATATTTTCGAGCAAAATCAGTTATTTATTTATTTCTAACCTTGATCAAATTTTTACGACTACGTAATAATTTGTCACCGAAAAAGAATAGTCATTCTTTTCATCTTGATGATACGAACCGATTATCGTCATTTTTTTTTGATACTACTATAGGACAGAAGAACGCAAAATTCCAACCTTTTCTTCCGATAAAAAGTTACAAAGAACACATTGTATTTCTAACCACGCATATTTCACTTTTATTTTATTATGGCGTGTGCTATGCATGAGCTGGAGGAGTGGTGTAAAATTCAAGAGGTAAGACAATTATTTTACGTTACACTTTTATAGATGAAATGATACATAATAGAAAAAGATGTCTATTAACGAATATCTTTTTTCACAATCAAATAAAAACTATCGAAAAGATGTCTTTATTGATTACCGGTTGATATGAATAATTCTTTGAATTCTTTTAACAATAATCAGTACTTGATAAAGATATGAAACAGAGTTTCTATTCTGATTTTATTTGGCAATAGATAACGAGGCAATGGAGGGTATGAGCGTGAAGATGTAGGCGGGATTGATGCGGAAGTATACTACCCTCACCCACCTTTCACTCTCATTTCACAATTACTTTTTCTAGCATTTCTGAACGCAATGGAACGCTCAGATATCCTTTTACTGCCTTTTCACACAAAAGTGTGTATGGGTTTCAGATTTGTGAGAATCAGGAACCTACATGGATTTCTGGCTCCCGAAAATCGGGAAGCCTTTTGCACATAGAGTTTCTAAGAACGTAGAACGCTCATACGTTCTCCGCTCAAAAGACCCAGAAACACTATATTCAAAACAGTCTCCAGTTTCTTAAAAACTTATAGCCTTCAAAGCTTCCCGGTTTTCAAGATCTGTGAACCTATATGTTTTCATGGTTTCTCGTTCCTAGGAACCCATAACTTAACATGCTTTGAGAATTATTTATTATTGTTTTTGAAAATAGGAATATCTACTGTATTACAAGAAACACAATCGCGTACGTGATCTTGAGTTCTCATAAATCATGGAAGCATGTGGGATCCTTGGTTCCTACGAATCAGAAGCACTATATTCATAAAGATTTCGGGTATCTGACGATCGGTAGCCCATGCAGGCTTCTCGTTGCCGATTCCTAAGAAGGAAAACAGAGACTGACAACCCTAATGCCTGACCTGGCTAAACTCACGTAGAGAATATCCTAGTAACATTGTGGTATAATGAAAGGATAGTAGGCAAGCATTTCAAAGCTCTGTGTCCTTTCAATATTGTATCAATCTATTAGAGCTACTTATGCAGAAAAAATGAAGCCTGTGTCTTTTCGATTGATGAAGAAGTAGGTATCATGGATAAGTATCCGCCTATGGCTAAGCTCATGGTTCTGGTGAGTATTTGGTACAAAAGTAAAGCCAGTAGAAAAGTTATACCGCGACTATAGTTTTTGTTTATTTCAGTTGTAAACTTAATTACCTTTCATATGAGATATAATTATCTGAGATTTTCTCAAAATTTTTAAATAGAGCCATTTTAGCTAGCAAATCTATCCCTCTATATGTTTATTTTAGGAGGAATCTATATTCATATCAGATGCATCTTTGTTAATCTTACCTAGTGAGATTCTTCATTTAATTTTTGACTATCTTGACGTAAAAACCATACTCAACGTTCGAACCGTATGCATTCAACTCTATCAATGTGTAGACATCTACAATCGATTGAAACTTCACATTCCTTTTGTCTCAAAGTCTGACTGTGAGTATACTTTTCGTCAAATTCAATCAAAAAATGTTATATCATTGACTTTGTCCAAAAATGTTAATATGGAATCATCATACCAAATAGACTTGTTCTTTTCACGTTTCCAGCTTGCTCACTTCATCCGACTCCAATCGTTGAGTCTTATTGAAATCGAGGATAAAATATTAGATATTTTATTACATCAAATGGCCACACTTTCTCTGAAGACTTTTGTAATTCATTTTTGTGAACATCAGATAAAGAACGACGATAGAATCAATCCATTCTCATCAACGATCTTTCAATTTAGACTTCAACAACAAAGTTTAGATGCCACTGACTATGTTATCAAATTGCTGTCGTTGCCCAATCTATCGACATTAGTTCATTTTACAGTTAATACCTGCACTTATAAGCAATATTATGATATTCTTCATCACTGGCCTCGACTGCTTACATTTGTTATGACAGACTGTACTATGAATACGGTCGAAAACACTGCTCTACCATTTAGTACTGATTCAAACATACCACGATTGACATCTCTAACAATAAATAATTGTCAGCTGAAAACGGAACAGCTTGAATTACTTCTTTTGTTGACACCGTCTCTTATCCATCTGAAACTTGTCTTTAATAGAGAGCGATTCAAATCCGACTTCAATGGTACCCGATGGGAAGAGTTCATCAAAAATAAGCTACTTCTGTTATTGAAATTCGAATTTGTTTTTCTTCCCTACGGTCGCTTACGTAATAATGATGGTTGTGATTTAGAAGATCTAATCGCTCCATTTCGTACACAGTTCTGGCTTGAGGATAAACATTGGTTAGTTGCTGCCGATTATTTCTCCTTATCAGCTACGTACAGCATCTATTCAGTCCCAATTTGCATTGCTGATTCTAAAATCGCACTCAGAAAAAGTATTTTATCGAAGGATAATGTCATTCGCGTTGTTAATGGCCCAGTCAATATGTCTGTTGAATGCCAAGAAGTATGTTACCAAAAGGCAGAAGGCCTTTTTTTTTGTTATATAAGTTCAATTCTAAAGATATTGAAAAGCTTTATCAGTTATTTTCAATGAAACTTGAATCGATCACTATCTAGATTGAGAAAGTAATATAATGGAATTTTAAATTGTTGAAACCGTCATATTTATTTTTACAAATTTCTTTCGACTAAAGTCACAAATTGTTTGACTTAGGATGGTCACCTAGCTGACAAAGAAGACTCTTGAATCTTAGATGATGTGGTGTTTATCAAGCTCAGTTTGAGAAATACTTGAAGTTAGATAGCTCTTATGCTTTACAAATTATCTAGGATGTACCAAATGACTTTGCCAATTCATTATGGCATAGCCACAATAATAGTGACAAAATTTATCTTTCAAATGAATGAGAGATGTACAAATTTTGCGTCTGATTCGTTATGCTAGTGATTCATTGTAGGTGAATCGTGGAGTACCAATAAAAAAAAACTTTTAGATTGATATACATAATTGAACAGTTGATTCAAAATTCGTTCTATCTGGCAGCGATGTTACATATTCAGTAAATTGGAGATGGAAGAGATATAGAGGAAGATGAGAGATATAAAAAAGGACTTTTCTTTAAGGCACTTCTATATATTGTACAGTCCCGATTTTCAAAGTATATAATAACTCTCATTTCCTAAGCATTTTAACTTTTTTTTCTCTACACTTGAATAACATAAGATAACTATCGCGTCTTTTTTACGTTGATTTTTTCATTTTTCTGGCAGCCGATCACAGTTTTGGACTTCAGTGGAAGACGAATGCATTTTCGAGGTATAAAAGGCATAGCATCTATCTTGCCATGCATCAAGGTAACATTCTTCTCTTCTTCTTTCAATGAACAAGCTCTTTATTTATTTTACATAGACGCTCCGTATTTTGAACCTCGCTGGCAGCAAGATTGGAATGTTGGGAATCTACTATATATTTGATGGTTTAAAGAACAATCAGGTTTTTCTTTATATACAGTTTAATTTATATTTTTTTTATTTTCACTTAGACTCTCACTGAACTAAATCTCGCGTTCAATTTAATTGGCGTTCAAGGAGTAGA